TCCAAATTTGTTGGCCATTCTTCATCATTGTACATAAGAGTTCACCTTTACTTACACCCAGGGCGGAGGCAAGGGGGCATTTACTTGTACCTAGCGAAGAGGCGACAAAGAGCTCTTACTGACCGGCATCGGCAATTGTGTGTTTTTTTGACTCACAACCTATATGTGTGTGTGTGTGTGTATTATTTTGTAAATTTTTGGTACTCTACAAAATATATTGTTAACTTCCTCTCCTTAGATTTTTGAAAAAAAAGTAAGAGAAATTAAGTTACTCCCTCCGTCCGGGAATAAACTTCCCGGTTTGACTTTTCCTTCTTTTTAGTGGGTGCCTTATTTACATGTGAAATGCCAAAACTGCCCTTAATGAAAGAAAACTTTAAAAAACTGAGATTTGGTTACTTCATGGCCGAACAAGGCCTAAATAATTCAACTACTGCCACTGTTTGAAATGATTACAAAATGGGCATGGATTGTTACATCAAATCAAGGATTACATTACACAAATTGGCAATTCCCTCCATTTTTTTGGAGGCCCGCCCAAAATGGTTAAATTCCTGCTTTTTAAAGCATTACTGCCTACATAAACCCCCCCACTCATTTCCATTTTTGGCCTGCACTCCCATGTCTTCTTCTTCTTCTTCTTCTTTTTCTTCTGTCTTCTTCTTCTTTTTCTTCTGCAACCTTTTCTGGAGTATGCTTTCACAATGAGCCTTATTCCTTTTTCTTTTTTCATCCCTAATTCCTGGAGGCATGCACACATATAGACTGATGAATACCACTCACATAAACACCAAAAAGCTGGACAACACAACACGGCAGATTATTAGTGAAGCACTACTTTCACATTCAAAGAAAAATGCAGCCGGTTCATACTCAGCTCAGTACGGGCAGATCAACACGCTTGCTGCAGAATATAATGTGTCCAGAAAAACAGTGAGCAACATATGAGCCATTGCAAAGAAACAAATAGAGCAGGGCATTGCCATTGATGTGAGAAGCAAACTGGCAGGAAGCAGTGGCAGAAAAAGGGCAGTGATGGATATAAAGGCTATAGCAGACACTCCCCTCCGAAAGAGGACTAATGTAAGATCATTAGCAGCTGCCATTGGTAAGCCTAAATCAACTGTTCATGAGTGGATTAAAAGAGGTCTGCTTAGGAGCCATTCTAATGCTATAAAACCATACCTCACAGATGCCAATAAAATTTCAAGGCTCAGGTTCTGTTTAGATCAGGTAGAACCCTACAGCATGCCAATCCACCCTAGGTTTAAGAGTTTTCACAATGTTTTGCACATTGATGAGAAGTGGTTCTTTATGTCTAAAACATCTCAGAAATTTTATCTCCTTCCTGATGAAGCAGACCCATACAGGGCATGTAAATCAAAAAGGTTCATAGCTAAAGTGATGTTTCTGTGTGTGGTTGGGAGACCACTATTTGGGGATAATGGAGAAGTGTTATGGGATGGCAAAGTTGGCATATTTCATTTCACAGAAAAATGCAAAGCCAAAAGGAAGAGCAAGAACAGACCCAAAGGGGTGTTAGAGGTGAAACCAATAACTAGTGTTACCAAACAAGTCACAAAAGATATGCTCATCAATAAAGTGATACCAGCAATCCAAGAAAAATGGCCCTCACATTTATCTAAAGACATACACATTCAGCAAGATAATGCAATGCCACACATTCAAGGAGTGGATTCAGACTTTATGG